ATTGGACTTTATATCATTGTCCTAGTCAAGTTTTGATAAATCAGATTTAAAGTTTTCTTCACTAAAGTTTTTAAAACTCCTGCAATATAAATTGTGTCTGCGTGATATAAATAAATTATTGAAATTGGGACAAATACAATATTGAGGTAAGTGATCAGAAACAGAAGTTGTCAAACTTCCTGAAATAATTTCCTTTGCTATTAAATTAAAGAAATTATTATCAATAATTGTAGCAGAATGATCAATAATTCTAGTTGGCAAAGTAATAAATTGACGAATATTAAAAAAAGAAAATAAGTTTAAAAAATCAGAAGTCGCAATGTCATTATTTGATTGCATCAGATCAATATTATAATCAACAAGTAAGAAAACAGATTTATTTTCAGCAGATATATTTTGAAGTAAGACAGACATGATGTCATTAAAAATATTGATATCCATGCAAGAATGTGTATAAATGCAACTAACAATAATATTAGACTTTTTAGAAAAATAATTTCAACAAATGTGGGTTCTAAAAGATTTGGTGTGTAAATCCTTAAATCATCTCTTCGTTTGTATATTAGTTTTTTTGATAAATATAATAATGTACCACCACAAGAAGATTCCGTTGGTGTGTGCTCGATGAGAATCGGATGAATTGAGGGTATTCCTTTTTTTAATTTTGTTTCAGTTATACCAATAATGGAAAAATCAAAATTAATTAGTGATAGTATTACATTTAAATTCTCAAAGTGTTTGATTGCATCAAACTATTATCTAATATAAAAACTTTAGATCTTACAACTGATTAAACAGATATTGACAGATTATATCAAAAATAATAAAAAAATTTAAGAATACTTTATCACGTGATCAAAGATATAAAGGGAAATATTATAAGGCCAAGCGTGATAAATTTTCTTTTAAAAACTCCGTGTCAAACACGGACGAATTAGAAACAGCAGCAGCAGAGTTATATTAATTGCAAGCGATTAAAAATAAGAGTGGTCAAAAAATTAACTCTTGGGCAACCCGCAGTTTTTATTCATACTATCATTTTCTCCGCAGCTCAAAGAAATGTATTGCGTCCGATTTCAAAAATAGCTTTGAAACCATTTAATATTCGAATGTTTAATTCGGCAATTTTTTAGAGAGTATAATGACCAACAGTGACGAATGCTTTGCTAAGATCAAGTACACTTAATGTATATATATTTTCATCAAATGCCTAAAAAATAATTATAGTAAGTTAATCTTTCTAAATCTTAATGTTTATTATAAAGAGTATTTTCATTTTCGGAAAAGTCGGCGATACATAATGTGTTCTAATAGTTTTGAAAAGCATGGTAGTATTGAGATTGGTCTGTAATTGGAGACGCTTGTAAAATCTTCAGATTTTAAGATTAATACCATTTTTGCTTGTTTAAGTATATCAGGAAAAATTCCTTGTTCAATATCAGGAAAGTTTCCTTGTTCGGCTCAATCGTATTTGAATATATAGATATATATTAAAATACGATTGAGCCAATCATATTTTAATATATATCTTATATTAAAATATGATTGTTTTTAAATTTTATTAATTGGTTAGTATAGTACAATTTTTTTTAAAACTTTATAATTGATTTTAAAAGTTGTTTGTTATTTTTGTAATTTGACTTATTTTCAAAAGTTTTTTTGTTATAAATTTATTAGTTATAAATTTTTCATAGAGACGTTGTTTAATTTTATGATACCTCCCAGTGGGCACGGACGTAAAAAAGACGTCTTTTAAACGTCTTATGAACGTTTTGGACGTCTTTTGAACGTCTTTTGAACGTTTTGGACGTCTTTTGAACGTTCAAAAGACGTCTTTTTTAGGTCCCGTGCCAACTGGGCTGGTGTAATCCAAGGATTTTAAAATGTTTTTTCTTTAATTATTTTTTTAATTTTTGGAAATGCTTTATTATAGTGGTTTTGAAACATCTGATTGAAACTGTTATAAGTTATATCAGTGCTTTTAGTTTTCAGGTAATTTTAGTTTACAGGTTCCTATTATAATATAGGAAGATAGAAATTTAAAATAAATGAAGAAAACACCAATAATTATTTGTTTGGTAACTTTTAGTTTTTCGGAAATTCGATTAATTTTTTTATTTTGCTGATATTATAATAACTGAAAAATGGTCTGAGATGCCTTTTATAAATATTCCAGTTTTAATTTTTATGTTAGGAAAAATGTTAGTAATAATTTGATTTTGAAGTTAAGCTATCTTTTGTAACTTTTGTTACAAAAGTAAGTCTAGTAATTTTTTATTATATAAAGTTGTAACTCTAATTGTTTTTTATTGTTGTAATAAAAGTATTTTAAAATACAATATTAAAGAAATTTTTAACTTTTTTTTTTGCGTCACATTCCAGCACGTTCAAATAAAAATACCCACAAAGTACGTGCATTACCGACAGTTTTATAACGGAACTGTAGAAGAGTTATTAATAAAAACTATTTTTTTCAATGAGAGAAAGAACAAACACTTTAAAGTGTTTATATCATAGTTAAAACAATAAGATAAATTTAAGATAAATATTTTTTACAATTAAAAAAAACTGATTTGAAAACCACTTTTTTAAGAAATTAAAAAAATGAAACTTTATAAAAGTTTACTATCGGCCAATTTGAGTTTCGACGTTGTCAATGTCGTCTTTTGAGTGAGATTAGTCCTCTTTTTGATTAGTTGGTGTTGGCGCATCAAAACTACAAGCAACGTCAAGAGATAAAACTCAAAAACTAAATACTATAAATAAGATAAATCTCAAAAACTCCGGATACTCATTTTAAAGCAAGTTTATAGAAAAATCCAACTTTCCAGTCTTTATCAAAAGTCTTTGAAATGTTAAGTACAGTATACTCACCACCTCCTTCTAATGCACGATATTGTCTTTCTTTTACTGTTTATAAGTCAACTGTACAACTAGAGAGTTGAATTTTGTTTGTCAGCGAGTTAACTATTTACTTACGATGAGGTGTTTGAATTTTATTATTTAAAGACTGTAAGATCTTGCTAATAATACAGAGAAAATTGAATGGAGACGATAGTTTGATGGATCAAAGTTTTCTCCAAAGTCTTTTAAAATCGGAGCCACATATGCCATTTTTCAGAATAAAGGAAAACTTAAGTTTTCCTTTATTCTGAAAAATGTTATATATTATAAAAATTAAGTTCAGTTAAGTTTTATTAAGTAGTTTTAAATGTATTTATATAATACAAATAAATTTTCTTGATATATATCAAGAAAACACTTATTTAAATTAAAAAGGTACATTGTTTGGGCCACTTTAGCAACGGAAGTTGGAGTGATTTGTATGACTAACAAGTTATTAACCTGTTTCTCTAGAATAATGAAGAGTGTGGTAATTAAATTCAAGAGACAAATTAGAGAAAAAGTTCTTTGTATATATGTTGACTTGCTTTTTTTCAATGGAATGAGTACAAAAGTCACAATAATATTTGCTGAAAGTTAAAGAGAACCTTTAACTTTTAGCCAATATTAATATTTTAGTATTAATATTTCAAGCCAATCAATCTGATCAAACCAAATGTTCATACAAAACACAATAACACAGATTAAATTAAGTTAAGAACAAATAAAAATAGATAATAATGTAAATATGACAGTTATTAGAATAAATTTGTAACAAATAGTAAGTTAACTTCTTTTTCTCTAACACAGCAGGACATGGGACATGCTATACCGGATTATATATTACCAGTACGTAACGTTAGAATTATCTTGTTGAATTTGAATTATCTTCACATTTCTTAGTGTATATCTATCGTTGTATATTATCATTATTAGTACTATATTATAAAGAATAGATCAACGCAAACTTTTTACTAGTATGCACTAGTAAAAGTAAAAGCTAATTTATTCCTATGCATATCATTCTTATCATAACTTATTTATATCATGCAAAAATATTTTTTTATAGCAATATAAATACATATACATGTCCGTACCGTGAAAATTTTCACGGTAGGAGGAGTCATTTTTGAAAAAAGGCAGTTTAAAATACCAAATAAAAATTTTGATCAATTTTTAAAAGAAAACTTGCATGAAAAAAAAAAAAATTGAGGTCGATTGCACTTAACGAGTTAACCCGCACTTAACCCCTCACAGTGGGAACATTATTGCAACCATCACAATGTTTGCAAGTTCTTTGGGTGCACTTATGCCAGTTCGCACTTATGCCAGTTTTTGCAACGCTTCGCACTTATGGTAGTTTGCACTTATGAAATTCGCGCTTACTTAGACTCCTGCATGCCAGTTCGCTCTTATAAAAGCAAACTGGCATGCAGGAGGCTAAATAAATGCGAGAGGGGTTGGAGTATAGTTAAGTTAAGAAAATATGATGTCATCTATTTCTCTATTACGAATGGATGCACGTCTATCATTTGTAATTCAGTTGTAATTGTTGAAGAAATTGATGCATACACATCTTTGATGAAATTAGCGAGAAGGTTTTAAACCGAGAGAGGGTGCCATACAGGTTTTTGCCGAAAACATTTTCAGCAAATAAAAACAAATCTAAATTGCTCTACAATGTTGAAACTAGTTAATTTAGTTTTTTTTGTTTTTCTCTTCTAAAAATAAAAGCTGTTTACTGCACATTATACTATAAGAGATATTTTATAAAACAAAATGTCTTTGTTTTGTTTTCTGCCATAAATGCGGGCAAATTCGTTCAGCAGTTATTTTGACAATAGTTTGTTGTTACCGAGTTTTTATTTCAGTTTAAAATAAACGCAAAATTTTTTAATGAAAAACTTATACCTTAGGGGGAGCCAGTTGACTGGTTTATGGAGTTCAGGGGACGGCTCGCGCCCCCCTCCCCTACGCCCTAAGTTGAATTCACCACTCATTTTTAATAATATTTAATATTCATATTTTAAAGTTTTAAAAAACTTTTATATTTTATTATTCATGCAGGAATACGCCACCCCTTCAAATAATGCCGCCCTAAAGTTCTGGGTGGGAAAGTGCGAATGGCCGGGAATCTGCATTACGATGTAAATTGTCAACTGGGAAAAGCACGTGGCGTTTACATGTAATCTAAATTGATAAATGGTCTATTAAAAATGATATTAAGTGTTATATTAATTACTACATAATAAAATAAAATTTAAACAGTAGTTTTAAAATGCATTAAAAATTGCACTGAAAACAATAATAATAGTATTACTAATATGAGGTTATGCTTTAAACTACTTACAAATTCATTTTTAATACCTTGGATATAGTTATATACTTTATGTGCTTTTAACTATTTATTGATTTAATTTTAATACCTTAAATAAAGTTTTTTATTGTAATTTACCTATTTTACAATTTATTGTGTTTAGTTTAAAAATGAAAGCAAAGTCTAAAAGTAAGAAGGTATTTAAAAAAGGAGATCAATGTGTACAAAACCCTAAAAGTAGAAAATTTAGAGACCAAGTTAAGAAAAATGTTTTTACGCAAAGGTCTTCAAAAAAAGGTGAATAATATAATTAATAAACTTTTATTTAGATAAATAAGCAAGTGTTCTTAATTTATTATTAGTTTATTGAATTATATATTTTATATAATGATAATTTATGTTTAAATTGTACACATTAAATAAAAGTTAGGTTTCGTTCTATCAACTAGATTCAGTAGTACTGAAATAATTTAGGTTATAAGTTTTCTCAAAGCTTTTTAAATGAAGAAATATTTATTATTTTGGTAGTCTCATCCTAATATTTGTTTTTTAAAATCTTGATAAAATATTAGAATATATATTTTTATAAACCCTTAATAAAATGTTTTAAAAATGAAAAAACTATCAAAATCGACTAATTCTACAAAAATTGATGTTGTTTTTAGTTTGCATATTTTTGATATATGGATTTGTTCAAGAAAACTTTTGATATATGGATTTCTTCACCAAATTTGTTATAAATATGAGAGTCATTGTCTCACAAAATTGTTCTCCAGAACTCACTTCAATTCTCTCTAAACTATTTAAAAAGTGCTTGATGGTTTTCAGCAGGCAGAAAAACAAGACTCCAAGTCTTGTTTTTCTGCTTGCAGGAAATTTGTTGTTCCAATTTTTAAAGACTCCGGTTAACATTCTGACCCCTCCAATTATTGTTTGATCAGTCTTCTTTCTGTTATCATCAAGGTCTTTCTGTCTTATATATAACTTATATATAACTTATATATATAACTTATATATAACTTATATATATAACTTATATATAACTTATATATATAACTTATATATATAAACTAATAAACAGTCTTATATAATAAACAAATTTCTCACATCCCATCTTGAGTCAAATAACTTACTGTTAGACAAACAATGCGATTTTTGATTCTCTTACTTTATGCCTGACTTGCGAACTATGACTAAAAGATTTTATTGTGCATTAAATAGAGGCGAAGAGGCTCTATTTAATGCTCTTGACATATCAAAGATTTTGGACAAAGTTTGACATGTTGGTCCATAAGCTTATTTCATTTAGTGTATCTGGGAAAGTTTTTGAAATTATGATAATAACAATAAATAATAATAATAATAATAATAACAATAACAATAACAATAACAATAACAATAACAATAATAATAATAATAATAATAATAGCAATAATAATAATAATAATAATAATAATAATAATAGTAATAATAATATTAAATACAGTAATATAAAACAGTATAATCACAGTATAATAACAGTATGAATATAATAGTATATTTTACTACTATAATCAAAATAAAACATTTCATGCAAATAGTGATTATCATTAATAATAATGCAGAATAAAAAATATAAAAGTTATAATAATATCAATAACAAAAAAATATAACAGATAAAGAAGAAAAGAAAATAGAGAGAAGTTTAACAACTTTCAATTGCATATATGGTTTCCTTTCATGGAAACCATATATGCAATCGATTGCTAAATTAAAATCTATTTAGGTTGCTTTTCTTTATCGTGTTCGTCATTTTCTCTTTCCTGATTCCATTCGCTACCTCTACAAATCTTTTATTTGCCCCTGCATGAAATAATGTTGTCATGTTTGAGCTGGTTCTTCTAATGATGCTCTTTCTCTACAAGTCAAGGTCCTAAAACATTTTGTAAATGTAGTTGGACCCACTCTATCTGCTAAGCTTGAACCTCTTTTACATTTTCGTAAAGTTGCATCTTTTTCACTTTTCTATAAATACTATCATGTTCACTGCTCAAAGGAGCTATCATCTCTAGTTCCATTAGAAGACTCTGATTTATGTTATATCTATCAGAGTCTTTTATTTTTTTGTTTGAGCTTTTTAAAATATTATGAACTAATTGACCTATATAACATTCTTGCATAATTATTCTAAAATACTTTAACAATTGTATCCTTTATAGTTTTCTTTTTGGTGTTAGAGTTACTTGATGTTCATATGTTACTCCATGTTCCAGAGTTACTCCATGTTTATATGTTACTCCATGCTCTAGAGTTGTCCATCGTTATAGGATCATGATTATGGTAGTATTTTTAACAAATAAAGCTTAAAAAATTAAACTAAAAATATGTATTGGGATCGTGTATAATTATATAATAATAATTATAAAAAAGATATTTATATTTTTGTCCTTTTTACAATTTCTTTAATCTTAAGAATATTTTTATGGAGCTTTTATGTATTTTCTTTTTTGTATTATAAATATAACCAAAAACATTTTACATTATAAATATTAAAAAGATATTTTGTATTTACAATTGAAAAAAATAATTAAGAAAGCTTAAATTTTTTGATTAACTTAATTTATTTCTGCTTTGTTTGTAATTTATTTAAATTTGTTGTCTTTTTAAGGGCACTATACCTGTAGGTAAGTTTTTTCAGCGCTTTTTCAAATTTTGAAAGCGTATTTAAAGCCATGGTCTTTTGTCAAAACAAGTTATTATTTGAATGATTTTAATTTTATTTTTATATATTTTCTTGATTAATAATGTCTTAAATGATTATTTTTTAAATAAGTTCAAAATAATCTTGAATTTTTATTAAATAATTTTAAATTTAAATTTATTTAGGACTGACATTACAAGCTTTAGAAAAACACGATGAGGAAATTGAAGATTTTGGAGACCTTGCTATTAGTGAAAAAACTGCAGAATCAACAAAGTCTACAGCTTTTTCTATAAGCGGACTTACTGATTGCTCTAACATAACTTTTAGTGCTGTTCTAGATAAATGGCACTCTCCTAATTCACTAGATCAAGAGGTATATGTCATACTCTTTTATTTTGTATTAGCGCTCTTTTTAATATTTTAATTTTTTGTTTGTTGGTTTTGTTATAATAATTGATTTTATCAAAAAAATGTAAAAAGCCTAATTACAAACTGTAAACAACATATAAAGTTTTTTTTTTTTATAATTAAAAAGAACTTCTTTTATTTATATAACTCCATTATTAATTTTTTTTTTTGCTTGAATTTATGCTTGAAGCAATATATTTATAAATTTTATTTTGCAAAAAATAATAGTTAAGAAAAAATATTTTATGATAGTTACATCAGGTTTATATATTGCAATAATTAATAGATTGTGCTATATTAAAAAAGTGAAAGCAGAAATTTCCTTTTAATTTAGAAAGAATTTTGAATAAAAAAGTTAAGTTTGAAAAAATTAGATTTTTTTTTCTTGGTTTTTCTTCCTCCTTTTCTATTTTTTACAAAAAATTAAATTTCTTGTAAACATGTTATAACTTATAACACTGGATAATAAATGTTCATAAAGTGTGCCTCCAACACGAAGAGCAATGGTAAATATTTTTTAATAAATGGTACTTGGAAACTTAAACCTTTGTTTGTCACAAAAAAAAAGCGCTATTTTTTTGCATTAAGTAGTTTTTTTTGTTTTTTAATAACCTTTTAAAAATAAAAAATCATAATTATTTGCAAAGCCGCTATTTTAAAAATTAATAATAAAAAATTTATCATATTTTAATTTATTTATACAGATATCAAGAAAAGAAAGAAAATAATTTATGTTAAATGATAATAAAAGATGTAATATTAAATTTAATTATTTAATATTTAAAAAAAAACCTAAAACAAAATAGACATTTCACAATATGTACATTTAGAAAATAACACTTCTAAAGTGTTTTTCTTAATTAGTAAAATGAACTTGATTTGCAGATTTTTGTTTCATTGCGATTGTTAAAAAATTAATGCCCTTAAATAGAATTTAAAAAAAAATAAAGATAATTTTAAGACATCAAAATCACAACAAGCTAATGTACTGAGCCGTTTTTTTATTTAAAATCTGATATATATATATATATATATATATATATATATATATATATATATATATATATATATATATATATATATATATATATATATATAATTGTATTACCATTTAAACACCTTTGGTTTGCTTCTTAAGAATGAGCACTCTCTACTTAATCTACAGCTTTTTTTTATGTAAGAGATGCATGTTTGTATTGACAAAAAATTAAAATCTAAAGTTGCCTGTCTGATAATTTTGACAACTTCTCTGCGTGACCATCCATGAACTGCATCTAAATGGTTGCTGTGACACTATAATATATAGTGCAATCCTGTAACTTTCTGAAATCTTTACTAACATAAAGTAGTATTGAAAAAATAGTATACTACTGAAACTTATATTTTTTGATAAATGCGGTAGTGGTGTAGTGGTAAGAACGCTCGCTTTGTAAGCGATAGGTTCGGAGTTCGACTCCCGCCATGTCCCTGGAAGTACCGTTAATTTCTACGCGCAGCGGCCTTGCTTGTCAAAAAAAAAAAAATTTAAAAAAATGAGTAGCCTCCTCGACTGTAGTGGCCCCCTCAGGCCTTGGGGAGGTGAATGATTAAAAAAAAAAAAAAAAAAATGTTTTATTTGAACTGGAAACCTGGAAAAGTCAGGAAAATTCTAGGCTATGCTGAAAGGTCAAGGAGTATATTAAATTTTCCAAAATTCTTGGAAAAGTTAGGAAATATTTATGGAGTTAGAACCAATATATATATATTTTTTGTGTATTAGGAACCAAAAATCTTACATTTGATATGCTATATAATAATTTGTTGGTTGTTTGTCAACCAACAAATAATTTTATTAATAAAAAAACCTGCTGTTTAATCTTTTAGAAATTTTATATTATATTGATTATTTTTATTGTGAATTTTAATACATAACAAAAAAGTTTTTTATTTTATAATGGCAGCTACACTGGAAAGCATGATTTCTTCTGATGCAATACAAACTATTAAATACACTTAGATTTGTTTTTGTTTTTTTGATAAATAATCTTCATAATTTAATGTTTTATAATGAAATAAAAATAATAAACTGATACTAAAAAGAATAACGTACAAAAATGAATATACATTTTGAATATGTTTGTTATCATTCTTTTTCACATTTTGGTTCTTACTTTTAAAATATATTTTTAATATTATGTCAAACAGTAAAACAATTTATTGCAGTAACTTTTTCCCCGATTTCAAAAGGACTAAATGACTAAATCTGTGAAAGTGTACAAAATTTTAATTTTGTCATATGTTAATAATTAAAAAATTATTTCAAATCTATCACTGTAGTATTTTTTGTTAAAGCAATTAGTTTTTGAATTTATATTCATACTTTTGATTCCTAAATATTAAGAAAAGTTAGAAGTTTGTATTGTACTTATATAAATATGCTTAGACTTTTTTGAGAAAATAATTATATAAAAACTGTCAAAACATGTTACTTCAGCACGTTGGTTAAATAAAACACTTAACGCTGATTTTTTGGCTTTTGGTTTTGGCTAAAATATGTTTCTAATAATCCTGCACAGGCAATATGTTTTATTTGTCAAAAAACATTTGATTTAAATAACTTGGGCATTCAGGCAGTAAAAAGTCATGAAAGAAGTAAAAAGCATGCCAATAGTAAAAAGTCATGAAAGAAGTAAAAAGCATGCTAATATTGTTAGTTTTATAAGAACAAGTTGCCAATCTATTCCTTATTTAGTAAACATCAAATCCGAGAATTAGCTTCAAACAGTATTGTAAAAGATACAAATCAATTAAGAACAGTCAGGGTGTAAACTAGCACTGTGGGGCTCTGTCAAACCCGGTAATCTTAAATGCTCCTAAAATTTAAATTCCCACTTTAAAGGTTAAAAAATAATTTCTCCAAATAAAGTTTGCCAAATTCTAAAAATTATTAAAAATGAATTGTAATTAAAAACTAATACAATAATAACATAAGAAATTATAATTTAATTGTGTAAAACTTGAAATAAAATAGCAGTTATTGGTATAAGCGATTACATAGCTGCGAAAACGTCTCTTGAAATAAATTTCTTGAGAATTAGGATTTTCCAAGCAATTTTAGGGATTTTCTTGGTAACTTGCTTTTTTTTTTTTATTATTTTAATTCACCTCCTCAAGGCTGAGAAGGCCACTACAGACGAGGAGGCTACTTGTTTGTGGCTATAACCCTTTCTCAACTCTATAACTCTGAAACACGAACCTTGACGAACAAGGCCGCTGCGCGGAGAAACGAGTTAAGCGCGGTACTACCAGGGACGTGGTGGGGATCGAACTCGGAACCACTCGTTTATGAAGCACTACACCACTACCGCATGTATAATTCATTTCTTAAAATTTTGAAATAATTCTTTGCAATGTGTTCCAACAACAGAAAATATTATATAAAAAAGTTTGCAAGAAATAAAGTACAATTTAAAAAAATAATAAGTTTTTTTGGTTTAACACCCGCAAATGCTATTTCTTTACAAGTTTTGCCCTTTTTGGCAGAAAAGTTAAATAACTTATTAAGTCTTACTGCAAACTCTACCTCAAGTAATGCATGTGCTTTGTCAACAAAAATATTGAGAAGCTGTTTACGTCAGATACTTTCGAAATTTTGATCAATTATGGATATTACTTGTCTTTTAGTTATTGTTTTTCTTTTTTTTTCTTGTTTGGTATTTTATATCAACTGAATTAGGTGATCGCATCGACAAAAATCTTTTTTTACTTATATACTATCATTTCTCGACTAACTTTTTTAAAAGACCACCACTGAATTATAAGTTAAATACAAAAAATATTAGAAATACTAGAAATTTATTTAATGAGGAAAATAGATTTCTTTACATTACTGCTTGGTTTTATTTAAAACGAAAATTAAATACGTATATTAAATTCGTTTAATAACAAAAATGTTTTTTTATTACAACAAACTGGTACTAGAAATTTAAAAAACAAGAAAACTAGATTTACTGCTTGCTTAAATTTAAAACTTTAGGTCCTTCATCTATAATATAGGGACACTTTGATAAATAAGGGCGCCAATCAGGTTTGCTGTCAAGTAGATTTGGCATAATGGCTCTCGGCGGCCCTGACCATATTCATAATAAGGTTTTATGACTATGAATGAAAAAAAAACTATTTTAAAATAAAAGCGGCAATGATATATTAGGATTACAAATAAATGATATATATTATTTTTAATAATAATTAATTAATATACACTGGTTATTGTATAATATAAAATATATAGTTCTTAATATATCTTTGGAAATAGGAGCTTAATTTGCCGTGTCATTGTGAAACCACTTTTAATTTTGTGTTAATTTCATATTCATCTTCAATAAATGTTACAGATGATATTTTATTTTATTTTTGCTGTCCAATCATTTCTATGCAGTGCCAAAGTGGAGTAGAAGAAGAAAGAATATAAGAAAAGGACCCCAGACATACCTGGAACATGTTTTAATCTCATGGGAAGGGGCTGATGATTGGAAAAAATTTCGACTAATTCACAATTTCATCAAAACGCTGTATCAAATTTATTCCTGATTAACACCCTGACAGTATTATTCCAAAACAGTTTATGTGCATTGAGTGATTTAAGTCCTGCAAATGTTCAGAAAATAGTTGATAGCTATGCTATACAAAGTTAAGTGACAAAAACAGAAATTAACTGGGCTTTACAAGTTGTATCCCTCTATGAATCTTATAGGTTCTGTTCTAATATAAGAAAAACATTTCAACAAAAGTTTCCTGACAGTGAAACAGCTAAGGAGTTCAAACTTGGAAAGACAAAGATTGCCTATAACACAACTCATTGTATTGCCCCCTATTTTTATGATGCTTTTCTGCACAATATATTAATATGTAATTTTTTGTGCATGTTGGATGAGTCACTTAATGGAGTAATACAGCAAAAAAAGGATAAGTATATATGTGCCAAAA